CTCAGTCTGTTTATATGGTGGATTACATTGATGGTTTTCGTATGTTGAACCATCCTTGCATCCCTGGAATGAAGCCTACTTGATCTGGATGGATGATTTCTCTGATGTGTTCTTGGAATGTTTTGCCAATATTTTATTGAGAATTTTGCATCAATATTCATGAGGGATATTGGTTTTCACTTCTCTTTCTTAGTTGTGTCTTTGTGTGGCTTGAGTATCAAGGTTATTGAAGCCTCAAAAAAAGAGTTTGTAATGACCCTTCTGCTTCTATTGTGTGGAAAACTTTAAGGAGAATTGTTATCAGCTGTACTTTGAATTTCTGGTAGAATACTGCCATGAAGCCATCTGGCCCTGAGTTTTTTTTTTGGTTGGAAGACTTCTAATGACTGCTTCAATTTCATTAGGGGTTATAGGTCTGTTTAACTTGCTTATCTGTTCTTGATTTAATTTTGGCAAGTGAAATCTGTCCAGAAAATTGCCCATCTACTTCAGATTTTCGAAGTTTGATGTACATAGTTTTTCAGAGTATGACCTGATGAATCTCTGGATTTCTTCTGTATCTGTTGTATGTCTGCCTTTTCATTCCTGATTTTATTAATTTGCCTGTTCACTCTTTATTGTTTGGTAAGTTTGGATAAAGGTTTGTCTATATTGTTGATTTTCTTGAAGAAACAACTCTTTGTTATATTGATTCTTTGTATTGTTCTCCTAGTTTCCATTTTATTGATTTCAGCCCTCAATTTGATTATTTCCTGGTGTCTGCTCCTCCGGGGTGTATTGGCTTCTTTGTTTTCTAAAGCTTTCAGTTGTGCTGGTAATTCTCTTGTGTGATTATTCTCCTGTTTCTTCATGTGGACATTTAGCACTATGAACTTTCCTCATAGCACTGCTTTCAAAGTATCCCATAGGTTTGCATATGTTGTGTCCGAATTCTCATTGAATTCTAGGAAATCTTATTTTCTTTTTATTCCTTCCTGGACCCATGAATTGTGCCATTGGTTATTACTTAATTTCCATGAGTTTGTAGGTTTTCTGTAATTTGTGTTGTTGGTGAATTCTAACTTTAAAGTATTTTGGTCTCGTAAGATACAGGGGGTTATTTCAATTTTTGTACCTGATGAGGGTTGCTATGTTACCAAGTATGTGGTCAATTTTAGAGAAGGTCCAATGTGGCACTAAGAAGAAGGTAAATTGTTTTGTATTTGGATGGAATGATCTATAGATATCTGTTAAGTCCAATTGCGCCATAACTTCTATTATTTCAGTCTATTACTATTGTACTTGGTTTCCTCCAAGAAGTGACAGGTAAATCCCTTTTGCAGATATAACTGAATCACAGATCTCTACCCACAAGAATTTGACTTGAATATGTCAAACTTTATCTCTGATGACTAGATTTCAGAGAAAATGGTGGTGGTAGGACATCAGTTAAGGGAGAAAAGTGACAAGCGTCTAACCCAGTTATGATGCTTTTAATGAATAGCATGGCAAGATATTAAAAATGCTCCAGAGGCCTTAAACTTGTCAATAACTATTATCTGCCTAATGGTATCCAAGGCTTGCCTAACTGTAAAAAAATTCATTTCTCATAAATCAAAACATCAAAACTTATGAGATTAATAACATAGATCTTAGACGATATTACCACTAAATTCATAAAACATTATAATCACTAACTGCATTGCAAATTGTATCCTTATACCCAAAGAACACTAATATGTTAACCCAAGAACCATTCTGTTTATATATGAGTGTTTGAGTGTGTGTGTGTGTGTGTGTGTGTGTGTGTGTGTGTGTGTGTGTGTGTGTTTATCAACAATAGCAATGAATGGGTCATGAATATGAAATGGAATGAGGATTACACAGAAAGGATTTTAGAAATAGAGATGTGGAAATTATGTAAATACCCAAGCTTTCTATACAGCACTTAATTTCTTAAAGTAAAAAAAAAATATGTAACAGTAAGGGAATTAGAAGAAGATATTAATTCAGCAGAAGAGTAGGATGAGACGAATTAGGATGAAACAAACAACTCATTTTGTAAATGTTGGAAAATTACACATATTAAGTATGGAAATTTCGTAATAAGGCTGACCTTATCTCAGGTTTCTTGAGTCAAAAGGTACTGTTGCCTTGGGCTCAAAAGCATGGGGGAATTTGGTAGCATGCATGTGTATATGGTTGATTCCCTGGCTAATTTTTAAAATATTTTAATGGTTTTTGACATTGAGCCTAGGACCTTTCTTTTGCTTGTTAAGAATTTTACCATTGAAGTACACTCAAATTGATTCTGGAAATTATAAATATTTTAAATATGGAAGAAAAAGACATCGTCACAATACTTTATGACAAAATACTAGTAAGTTTCCCAGGTAGAGTGTCACACAACCAGTAATGCAAGAACTTTAGAGGTGGAGGAAAGAGGAATAGTAGTTCAAAGCCAGCTTCAACAATGTAAGTTTGAGGTAATCATTGGCTGAGATACACTCTGACCCTTGTAACTCAGAAAACAACTGATTAAAATCATTGCAATGTTTCTAAAATAAGAAAGGTACCTGGTAGCTTTTGCCAAATGAGAAAAGGGGCTCACATCCCCAAATCTGGTTATGGTCTCTGTGTTTCTTTTCTGTTAATGTCCTTCCAAATTAAAAAGAGAGAGATTAATCAATGATGATAAAAGACTCCACAAAAAAGGTCAGGTATACAACTGGAATTTCATGAAATTAAATGGAAGGTAATACCTAGAATCTAAAATGGAGAGTGCTTTCCCAAGAGTTACAAAGGAAAATATACGAGTGGACGGCTCATCACAGAACATTTAGAACACCGTGCTTAGGGAAATTTGTGAAGAAAATTAACATTAGGTGTTTGTGGCAAGAAATTTAAGCTACTTATAGGTGGAAAGAGTATCATGTGATTTCCATATAAATAGTAAGACATGTACAAATGCATGTAGTTAAAATATGGTGAGTATATTATGCCATGTTTGTTTGATGTCCCTGGGAGGCCAGCTCTTTTCTGAGGGATGTTGTAAGTTAGTTAAATCTGGGAGCAAAAATGCCAATGCACAGAACTATACAAATCTCATTGAGTTTTCTACACATGAAACTAATAGTGAAATATAAAAGGAAGAAAGACCTTCAAATTAAAATACAAGCAGGTAGGTGTGGTGTCTCTGTCTTCAGCAAAAGCTTCCCAGGAGAAGTCAGAGATGGATGTCTGCACTTCCTTATCCTGAGACCATCATGAGCAGGATAATGAGGTCATGTGTCAACATCATACAATGAAAAAGAACAGGTTTATAACCAATAGTTAGCAAATATATGTATATAATTATATGTATATGTATGTATATGCACATATGCTTAATCAGGAAATCACTTCATGTTATTAGTAAAATCAATTTTAGCATAAAATATAAAATTAATGTATAAATTATGTTAATATTATTAAAATGCAATATTCACAAATAATAAACAGATTGGAAGAAATAGGCATTCAGGTTCCATTATGTGCCATTCCTTTGTCCTAATTATCAACATAACTATAGAATATGTACAAAGCCACAGTAAATCTGTTATCAAATATTTTCCTGAAATTGAGAAAAAAAATCACCAGATTCCAATTACATTGCTTGTTTGAAAAACATACTGAAATGTTACAATCTGCACACACATACATACATACACACACAAACACACAAAGAGATAAGAAAATTGTTTGGGATGACTATTGCATTCAAAATTATCATATAATTATTATCATTTAACTCATCTAACAAATGCCAAAAGTAATCTTATGGTTTCTCTTTCTATTTTTCAAACTTTTAAACTTTTACAAAAGAACGTTTTTGGGACTGAAACCCAGGAAAGCACTCCCCATGGTCTCTCCCATCACCACAGGATACACAGGGATCATTTTCTATGAACCAACAACTCACTCATCTGCCAGTTTGCTACAATCTGCTCATATTCTATCAGCAAAAAAGGCAAATTTCCAGCAGCCCACAATCAAGGAGGACTTTGTGGTTGGCTGTCAATTCAGCCTGTTGACAAGTCTCTTTAATTATTAATTACAAGTTATTCTTTAATTTAACTCAGCTAAAATATTTTCCTTTCAAGAACTCTGATGCATTTGATGACTGGTAGTCTTGCCAGCTTAAAGCAAAATCAATTTTAGGAACAGGATTTGTGTATCTGAAGATAGGAAAGTGTAAGTTTTATGATGGTCTGGGAATGGAAGTTACAAATGTCTGAGGATGGAAAGGTCTAAGTGTGTGGATGAATGCAAGTTATGGAGGTCTGAGTATGTAAGGTATGAATGTCTGAGAATGGAAGGTCTAAGACAGCAAAGTAAGGTGTCTGAATTAAAGTCAATACCCACTAGCTCAGCACAAATCAGTCTTCAGATTCTCTTTCCTTATTCTCTAACCTGCCATGTCTAACACACCAACTTTTTAATAATGAGAAATGGTGGGAATGAAAGGTTCAGGCATTATGCTCACCTGGCCCTGTTACCTTGCAGAATTCACACAGGACTTACCCCCAGTCAGCCCAGGGTTCCATGGGAACTAAGTCTGCATGCTGTAGTAAGGACCCCTTTAAAAGACAGACCCCCTGTCAACTTACTCTCTCTTTTGCTCTTTGCCCTCTGCTCTCTGTCTTGTTCACTTCTCTCTCTTATTCTTGTGCCCTCTCTCTGATCTCTTACTCTCTTTTCTTGCTCCCTCGCTCTTGTCTCCCTTAATAAATGACACAGTTAATGAAAAATTAGTAGTTGAATATGAAAACCACAAACAAAGCAAGATTTAAAATACCACAATGTATTTATGGTGAGCATGTCTTCAATGAAGCCTTCTCAGAAGTTGGAAAGAATCATTTCATCCATGCCTGAGACTGAGATTATCATGAACAGGCTCCTGAGATCTTCCATCAGGATCATGCAATAAAGGGGAAAATTATAAGAATACATAGTTAGAAGCAGTAAAACTGTCCGGGAGGCCAGTAGGACTGATCCAGACCCCTGAACATGGAAGTCAATGAAGAGGCCTCTGCACTCCAGAGGGACCCTGGTAGTGGATTAGTATTTTTCCCTGGTGTAAGGAAGGACTTTGAGAGCCCATCCCACATGAAGGGATGCACTCTTGCCCTGGACACATAGGATAGGGCCCAGGCCCAGCCAAGGATGATGGGGTGGACTTTGCAAAAGCCCCTTTGAGGGCCCTACCCTGCCTGGGGAGTGGAGGGTGGATGTGGTGGGGGTAGGTCAGGGGTGGGGGAGGAGGAATGGGGGTGAGGGGAGGGAGAGAGGGAAGGGATTGACTTGTGAAACAAGTTTGTTCCTAATTTGAACTAATAAAAGCAAAACAAAAAAAGGAAAAGAAGCAGTAAAACTTATACATTTAAACAAATAATCATTTTGACATGATTAAGAAAATCTGCATAAGGTACAGAAATTCACTAATTTCTAGACAAGTAATTTTAATATTATTATGAATGCAGAATTCACAAGCAATGTAGAGATTATGTACAGTGGGCATACAGACCTCCATATGTGTTCTTTATTTGTCCTAATGAATAAATTATTATAACATTTGTACAGAACCATGAGTAATGCACTGTCAAAGAAATTTTGCTGAAAAAAAAGAAGACAGGAGCATTCCATTCACACTTCCTGCAATGTAACACTAAACACACACACTCCATACACTTCTATAATTATGAAATCATATGAGATAAATGAGTCACTCCAAATTATCATTTACTTATAATCACGTAACTCACCTTATAAATTGCCAAAAGATTTACTAGGTAAAAAGTTTCTCAAATGTTCTCATAAATGGAAAATATAGTAAAATTTGATTTTTCTCTTACACAACATATAGTGATTGGTTTTAATTTTTGTATTTACAAGCGCATGTATTTCTATGAGAGCGAGAGAGACAGACAGAGAGAGAAAGAGAGAGAGAGGGAGGGAGAGATAGATACAGAGAGACTGAAAAATTAGGTGTGTGTGAAAGAACAAACAATGAAAAAGAGATGATAAATTTAAAAGGAAATATGAGGGTTAAATCAGAGGACTTGGAGGGAAGATAGGAAATGGTAAAATGATGCAAATATTGTAATAATTTTTAAAATATGCTTAAATAAAACCAAACAGTCCATAAACACACCAAAATACAGGTATAAATTTAAAATTATGCAACAATCATTTGGTTGAAAATTGATGTCTAAAGAATTAATGAAAACAATACTTTCTAAAGTGTGCAGCTATAGATAATATTGATAAGGAAGAGACAGTTCCTGTATGCACTCTTAGATTGATCGGTGACCCTTGTGTTTTCACAGGCTCCTGCCTTGGCACATAATGCTGAAGAAAATAAAATTTTCTATTGGTCCCTGCAGTAAGAGAATTAAAGGAGCATCCCTGGTATCAGATAATTAAGTAAAGAAAAATGTCTGAAAATTTGAGGTACACTGTTACAGGCTTGGGTTTAATGTAAACATTAGACAACACTCGGGAGAAGTTTATAATCAGGGCTTGCTTAAAGACTAAGACCAGCTAAGAGCTGGAATCCAACCAGGACCATGGACTGCAAAAGCCTGTGTGAGGATACGTATATGAGTTGTCACTGCATATGATTGGCTGTGTACTATCATATAGAGAATAGCTTTGGAGAGAGAGAGAGAGAGAGAGAGAGGGGGGGGGGGCGGGGGGGAGGACGGAGGGAGGAGAGAGAGAGAGAGAGAGAGAATGCTAAGCATAGTGATGGAAATCCAAACTCTGCAATAACTAGGGAGATTTCCATCAAAGCTGCTGTTTCATCTACCTGTTTGTTGCAGCAGAAGCATTAAAAAAAATTGAAAGGAAAACTCACACAAGACGTTTGACCCAGGAATACTATTGATATTCAGCAAGATGTGCTTCTGATGATGATGATGATGATGATGATGATGATGATGATGATGTGTGTGTGAAGATTAATCCAAGAAGAAAAGACTCAAAAGCTCAGATCTTGCATACTACTGTAATTTCATTAACTTCAATGGAAAATAATACCAAACATCTAAAAGTTTCAGTACTTTTCCCAACATTAGAAGGTAAGAGAGAAAAGGGGATGTCACTTAACAGAACATTTACAGGACACTATACTCACACAAATATGCAGGGAAAATGAACAGCAGTTTTTTCTATGGGAAGATATATAAACTACACATAGGTAGAAACAACATCATGTCATTTCTACAGAAATATTCAGACTTGTACGAAATGTATGGATTCAAACATATGGTGAGAAGACATGCCAATGCTCAGAAACACAAAATAATTGGGTAGTCGATATAAGAAACTAATAATGGAAAATAAAAGGAAGAAAACCCTCAAATGACTATACCAACAGAGAGGTGGGGTGTCTATGTCTTCGGGGAAAGCATCTCAAGAGAAGGCAGAGAAGGAAGTCTTCAGTACCTGAGTCTGAGTTCCTCATGAGCAGGATGAATAGGTCATGTTTCCACATCCTAGAAGGAAGAAGAAAATGTTTAAGAACAAATAGTGTATAATTGTGTATATTATATACATATATATGCGTGTCTGTGTGTGTGTGTGTGTGTCTGTGTTTGTGTACATAAACATATACATATTTAAGTAGAAAATCATTTTCATATGATTATTGAGAATGAAATAGCGTTAAAAATTACTAGATGGGATGTTTGATATTATTTATAAGTATACTAGTCACTTATAATAAAAACAGTGGATGCAATGGGCATTCAGATCCCCAAATGTGTGGTTTCTCTGTCTTACTGATCAAAATAACTCTAAAACTTGAACACAACCACAATAAATCACGTATCAATGAAATTGTTCTGAAAATGAGAACAAAGGCCAATCACATAATCTATTTTAAAACTTAGTGTAATGTGCCAAAACAGGCACACACATGCTAGTATAAATTGAAAATTATTTGAGATAAATCCAGGGCCAAAAATTCACTTAACTCTTCTTATAAATTTCCAAAAGATACAGAAGTTTTAATGCCTCTGATAAATTTTAGGACAAGGGTTACAACAGGAAAAATAGATTTTCATTCAAATAACAAACATTGTCAAAGTTTATTTGTTTAATAAGTATTGAGTGTTTGTGTGCAAGCATTTGTGTGTGTGTGTGTGTGTGTGTGTGCTTGTGTGTGTGTGTGTGTGT